ATAGTGGCTCAAAACAGTTCAAGTCAAGTGTAGCTAGGATGATGAATATGCTTATTACAAATTTCACCAAAAATGGATCAACAGATTGTGAGCAGTTTCGAGTTGGAGCCTAAATCACAATTGACTAGCTGACATGATGGGATTGGGAAGGTAATAAGAGCTAAAGATACATCGGCATGGTCAAACAAATTCCTTGGACATGCATATAGTATTTTTGTTCCCCATGTGCTTTTCAATGCTCCGCTATTTTGGAATTGGTTGGTTAATTTTCAGTATGTTTTATGTTTTGGGATTCCTGGTATATGTAAGTATAAGGTAATGACTTTGAACGGGACTTGGCTCATTGCTATTGTGCTCTAATTGGAATGAATATGGCCGTATTAATATATGCTTATGCCAATTCTGGCCAAAACATTTCTTATTCCAATTACCCAATACTCAATCCATACTGACAGTTAGGATGTGTGGCGAGTAATACGTTCCGATCACCGGTTGTGCACGGCCATATCCACCTCTTTCATCTATGACCTATCTCCTGATAAGAGGCACATGGTCGTGTACAACCGGTAAAAGTGAAAAATTCTGGTGACCATGTTACATGGTACTCAGATAAAAGAATCTCTATTGTTGAAAGTATAATTGGAGTTGGAGTCTGTATTTTTGGGTTATAAGTCAAACCTGTTACTCAGGAAACGAAGCTTGATTTAAATTAGCCTGTCCATATTTAATTTTCTTTTTCAGACGCCTACCCGTATTTGATGGGTCTAAAATAACAACATCTTATCTTTTGCACCTACATTTATTGACTAGAGCCAATTTAGTTTCTTGGAGTGAGTCAATATTTGGCAACTCAACAATTTTGTGATAATCAAGCATCATAGAAATACTGTGTCAAATTAGAGCAAAGCATATTTGTAATCGTAATCAAACTTATTTTTCTGCATCAACTGCTTCTTCGACAATATATATATATATATATATATATATATGTTACACGTTCACTTTGTTTTCCTTCGTTCCTGCCATCTTCTCCCCCTCATTCCCTTTTTCTCTCTCGCTCTTCCCCTCCTCAGCCATCTTCATTCTCTCTCTTTTTTGGGTTAGGGTGGCGGATGGAAAATACGTTGTTAGACCGGTTTTTTATTTTTTTACTTTTTTTATGTGGTCGATTTTGTTATTTTCTTGGTTATGTCAAAAACAACGACATAATCTTCTCTAGGTTTTTCATGTTTGCAGGCTAATGACTATGTTCTTTGTCGTATTATAAACATGACAATGCTTGGCTCTGATTCCTCCTCAACACAAGATGTGGCCTCTTACAAAACGACACATGTTTCTCTTTTTTCTTTCACCGACGCTCTCTCTCCCTCTTCTCACCCAATCTCTTCTCCTCCCGTGCTCTCTCTTCTCTCATCTCTCCATCTCTTTCCCTGCAACTCAGATATGGAGGAGAGAGAGTGATGCCGGAGAAAAATTTTCTCCCCCAAGTCATACCATGTTCTTCCACCATTCTCAAAATTTTCAGAACTCCCCAATAAATAACTCAATAAAATTAAAAATTAAAAAAGGAGAAATCAATACATAGTGTTTGGGTGATGACCATGGAGGAAGAGTGATTGGGTGATGATGATGATGGAGGAAGAGTGATTGGAGAGAGAACGGGGAATGGAGGAGGGGGAGGTGACGCGGAGATGGAAGATGGCGGTCGACATTGATGCCGAGGATGGAAAATGGCAGTGATGGGGAAGAGAAAGGGGCTGAAAATTTATTCTAAAGAATTGTAGGGGAAGAGACAGAGACAGAGATGAGAGAAGAGACAAGGGGGAGGAGAGAAGAGTGGGTGAGAAGAGAGAGAGAGAGAGAGTCGGTGAAACAAAAAAAATTAAAAAAAAGATACAAGTGTCGTTTTTTACGAAGGCCATGTCATGTGTTGAAGAGGAATGGCTCCTAATATATCAGGAGCCAAGCATTGTCCTTATAAACAAAGAAAAGATACGACCAACGAGGCTAAGAGAGAATAATTGTCGGTGAACAGATTGAACATAATGATGTTGAGATAAATATTGCCAGTGAAGTTTTAAGGCTTGTAGATGTTGAGGAGATGTATTAATTTTTGTTGTTGAGAAATAGATAGTATTTTATTAAACCCAACATAACATTATAGTAAAGACTAACATATTAACGGCGCAGTCTTGTTAAAACCTTTCCAGAGAAAATAACGTGGGACAAAATCTCGGGGAGGAAAGAGTATACAATTCAGTTGCAAGTACCGACAGTAGGCTAGGGGCACACATTGCTAAAGAGCCACCCATATTGCCATTTGAGTCATGCACAATCACACCAATTCCCTGAAGACCTTGCTTCGTATCAAACACACCATCAACATTATGTTTAAAATAACCAGTCAGTTGGGGGGCGTCAATATCTACCCATGATCTGACAAAGAAATAGTCCTATGATGTGATGCATTAATTTGGTGATACTCCGCATCATAGTTCTTCGGACAGAAGAGAATACGCTCTGCAGACATCGGTTCAGAACCAAAATGGACTCCATTTCTGTCATTCCAAAGTAACCAAAAAACAATAGCAAATAGAGCTTGCTTAGCAACTGGGATCAGCTCCAATGCAGCCAACAACCAAATAGCAGCATCGTCCACTGTCAAGGCTAGAAAAGTTTGCGGCAAGTCCAACTGCTTGCAGACTTGATGAATTGCCGCACAGTGTCAGTCTCGTAGGGCATGAACAGCGGTTTCGCAGCCATCAGAACATCTGAAACAATTTACCTCAGTTGATATCTTCCGTTGACCAAGGACAGCTCTTGTCGGAAGGGCGTTCTGAGCTAATCACCATAGAAAATGCTGTATTAATTGAAGTTTGAATCTTTTTGATATTTGAATCTTCAGAGAGAGTTTAAAAAATTTTAATCTTAAGAGAGAGAGAGAGAGAGAGAGAGAGAGAGAGAGAGAGAACCCTGATATCCATTTGGTTTTTGATTCGGATGAGTCCTGTTGACTCTCCCATATTTTGGTTATCATATAGGTTTAGTTTTAGTTTCATAGGAAAATATGATTTTGTTTTTTTTATTACCGTTAATAATTTTAGAGTAGATTTACTAGAGCCTAAAATTTGTTCTATGATTAAAACCGATTTGATATATTACCTAGTGCTAAAACGGTTTAGGTAAATTTTATAACATAAGCTATTGTGTGTGTGCATTATATAATATGGATTAGTCCTTTTAACCTGTCAAAATAAGAGTAAATTCCAAATCATAAAATGAAAGCTAGGAGGATAAAAGGAAGATCTTGCACATTACTTCTCATCTTGAAATGGGGTGAATTGCAGAAATTGTATTTGTTATAGCATGTGTGTTTTCTTAATAGATTACAAGAGATTGGAAAATGAATTGGAGGCTAGGGGACGAACCCAGGATTTCAAATTGGGGCGGGCTAAATCTTCAAGAGAGGAGCAGAGTTTGCAGGAGCAGCAAGGCCAGTGACGGTTCCATGAGTCGAAAGTTGAGTAAGCAAAATTTTCATGTTAAACTCGATAGTACGAAAAATGTTCACGTTAAACTCAACGGTATAAGTGAATTTTATTTTATATTAAAATAAACAAAATTTACAAATTAAATACTTTTTTTGTTGTTGAAGAGGCGACGTCTTTTTTTCAGAGAAAAGAGAAAAGCATGCCCAAATACAACACATTCAAGCACCAAAAACAAAACAAGAAAGTATTAAAAACACACTTATAATAAAATTATATAGTATTCTTTACCAACAAACAATTATATATAGTATTGTTTATTTTTATACCACCCATGTGTGTCGGCCTGCCCAAGCCCAAGACAAACATTTGTTATTTTTTTATTTATTTCTTTAACCTATATATTATATCTATTTCTGCCCAAGCCCAAGACACGTGGGTATTTTTTTTAAAGATTGAGGAGGGCTAAAATTTACTTTGAGCTATAAAAAAATAAAATCCCCCCGAGCTATAGCCCAGGTGAGACCTTTGTGTATAGGGTTCATATAAATTGGAGGATCTCTCAATTTAGAGACCTAGGTTGCCGCCTTGCTTGACTATCTCAGGCCGCTCTTGCCAAACATACAAAAGTAAGGGGAAAAAAACTATAGAATGAACTCCAACTATGTGATTTTCGTTTCCACACAAAATTGGAGAATGACCGATAATTTTCACCCAATTCAGGCCCTGAGCATAGGGTGTGCAGGCTGGGCAACTGCACAGTGCGCCTAAAAAAATAGGGTCTCCCAAAAACCTTTTAACCCAACAATTACATAAGCAATAGGTCTTTTAAGTGTGTGACGAATGCTTTTTGGGGTTTACCTTTGAAATTATTTGTGCATTTTTCTTTATTTTTCATTTGGTCGGCCTCTTTTACTTAAACTAACCAACTTAGCACCCAAAAGTGGAACTTTTTATGATTATTAAGTGTTGAACGTACGTAAAATACCTAAACTTATATTTCTACCCTCCAAAATCAATGGATGTGCCCCAGCCCATCCTAAATACTTCTGGCGAGGTGTAAATTTCTTATTTATATTAGACCGAGAACCTACTGCTGCGAATTGATCACTTCAAATACTATGTCATTTTCTTTTACATGAAAATTTTATTTAAAAGGATAATGTGGCGTGCGTGAGATAAAAAGAAAACACGCGGTAAACCACATCTACGGCTATAAATTGATCACTTCAAATACAATGTCTTTAATTTTTCTTTTAGATGAAAATTTGAAAGAATTAAAAGGATAATGTATCCAACATAAAAAAGAAAAAGAAAAAAAAAGGGCTAATATGGCATGGGAGAAATTACCACGCGGTAAACCACACCATCTATTTACACAAGCTGCCTTTACTCAGAGTATATATACCATCCAAGCCCCTATAAAGTATTACATAATAAATATCTTTCCTTCCCAACTTCAAAGGAAACAAAACCTAGTTTTCACTTTCACATATTGTTGCTCAAAAAATCATGGAGACTGCTAGGAGTCTGGGATTACCTGTCGGATTTCAATTTGAGCCATCTGAAATGGAGCTCTTGGCTCACTATCTTTACAACAAGGTAAATGGTTTACCGCTTTCTTCCAACGCAGTGATTGAGTGTGATCTTTATGGAGAGGAAGAAACATGGAGGAGGCTCTTCGACGAAACTGGTGAAACAAGTCTCTACTTTTTCACCGAGTTGAAGAAGAAGACGGCGAAAGGTTCACGTGTAGAGAGGACGACGTCACTGGGAGGCTGCGTTACATGGAGAAACCAGAGCGATAAGGCCATCTATGGAAATGATGGACCACCAAACAAGACTCTTATTGGGTATAAGCGAACGTTCTCATATGTTCCCAAAAAGACGTCCACCAAGGCAAAGGGAGAAATGGTCATGCATGAGTTTAGGCTTGCTGGGTGCCTTCTCAACAACAACAATCAAGTAAGTAGTTCATTCCAGTCTTGTATTTAGATTTGGATCGTTTTGGTTCTTTGAATATGATTTTCTTAGAGTTGTCTTTATTTGTTCCTTAATTTTCCCTAAGTTTCCAGGTTCTATATATATATATTTCTTCTGATTTTACGTCTATGTGAAAGTGACTTGGTTGCTGCCGCCGTCTTTGGCCCATTAGGGTTTCATCTTTCTTTATGTTCCGGTTGTCGGTGTGTGTGATATATCTTTTATGTGGGTTTTCATAAATAGACGTTGAATAATTTTATTGTTCTTGTATGAATCAAGATCATGTATAACACAATCTTGAGCTTTTAATCTTCGTTGTGTATTACAAATCCGATGGCTATAATACTATTAATCCTTGACTAATAAACCCCTTCGAAATTTTAAAATGAAAGATTGTAACCATAAACACCTAAATAAAACACAGAGTTAATCCTCTCTGCGTCTTTTATGTTTGCAGGCTAAAGACTATGTTCTTTGTCGCATCATAAATAAACAAAAGTTACAACCGACGAGGCTAAGAGACAAACAGAATATGAATATTGCCAATGAGAAGAACGAACCAAATGATCAGGAAGTGAATATTGCCAATGACCAGAAGGATCAGGAGATGGATATTGCCAGTGAAGTTTTAAAGCTTTTTTTTTAGGTGAGACCCAAGGGTATCCACTGCCGACAGTAGTGACTAATCCCTTTCGCCGCGGGAGCTCTCCCAATGGAGGTAAACGGCTGGCCACAAAATGCGCTCCATTCCCATGTGCGGGGATCGAACCCCTAACCTTATGGTTAAGGGTTTTAAAGCTTTTAGATGCCGAGGAGATGTATTGATTTCAGTTCCATCGAATCCTTTTGATATTTGAGTACCTCATCATATGATTACATTATTTTGTTTTCGTTTTTAATCCTGTAATTTGATGACTCATGCATGTGAACAATTGGAGAGTTTAAAGATATTTAATCTTAAGAGAGCTTAAAGATGATACCAAAACTCAACATTTTCCATTTTCAGAACGGATATAAAGCCAAAAAATATTGAAGGAAAAACTATCCTCACTATTTTGGTATCGCTCGATGAAAATGTGAAGGAAGAACTTATCCTCATTTGCTTAACATTTTTAATTCTTAATATTATCATTAACTAATGACATTTTTTGGTATTTTGAATGTTTCATCATTCTCTCCCTTTTGCTTTATATATATAGATTAAAGACAAACATATTTTTTGGCTTTTTATCGTGAATAGTCTTGAGGTTTGCAAAATTTTCCCCAATCATCCTTAAGGTTTTTTTTTTTTTTTGGTTGTTGTTGTTGACATTAATAGTCCTTAAGGTTACCCTCCCTCATCTCCCTCTCCCTCTATGTTTTTTTCTCCCTCACAACCCGACCACCCATATCCCCACCCGCAATCCATGCACGAGCCCCAACCTGCAAACCCACACTTCGACCCATTCTCCCTTTATTTTTTATTTAATCGGCCTCTTTTACTTAAACTAACCAACTTAGCACTCAAAAGTGGAACTTTTTATGACTATTAAGTGTTGAACGTACGTGAAAGACCTAAAATTTTATTTCTACCTAGAGCCTCCAAAATCAATATGGATGCTGCCCCATCCCATCCTAAATATTTCTAGCGAGCTCTAAATTTCTTATTTATTTTAGAGCTAGAACCTACGGCTGCGAATTGATCACATCAAATACTATGTCATTTTATTTTATATGAAAATTTGATTCGAAAGGATAATGTGGGGTGAGTGAGATAAAAAGAAAACATGCAGTAAACGACATCTACGGCTATATATCGATCACTTCAAATACAATTAATGTCTTTTCTTTTTCTTTTATATGAAAATTTGAAAGAATTAAAAGGATAATGTATCCAACCAAAAAAAAAGGGGTAATGTGGCGTGATTGAAGAAATTACACCGCGGTAAACCACACCATCTATTTACACAAGCTACCTTTACTCAGACTATATATACCATCCAAGCAAACAAAACCTACAAAGTATTAGATTTCGTATCTTTCCTTCTCAACTTCAAAGCAAACAAAACCTACTTTCACTTTCACATATTGTTGCTCAGTCATCACATGGAGACTGCTACGAGTCTGGGATTACCGGTTGGATGTCGATTCGAGCCATCTGAAACGGAGCTCTTGGCTCACTAGTCTTTACATAGTCAAACTTCTTATCAGCCTAGAGCAGATAAAAGTTATGGACTGTTGGATGATGGAAGAAATTGTTGCACAGACAGAAGCAGAACATCCAGAGGAAATGGAACTTCCCTCTAGTGAAGTCCATCATGCAGAGAATGCATATGTCTTGAAGGAAAGGTATGTTGTACTGTCAACACCAACTCTCACTAAAAAATGTTGGGGTCTATGTAGAAAAGATCCATGTGCTAAAAATGCTGGGAAAAACCCTTGTATTACACTTACTGAAACTAGGCCCAATTTGCATTTATTACTTATTTTCTATGGCTATTTTGTCCTTAAAGGTATTAACCAGAGAGGAGATTAAGATACCAGTGAGAGAGAATGAGTGGTGGTTACCAACAAAGAGAACAGGTACCAGTGTAGGGAAGATTTCTTCCTCTTTAGAAAGTTGTGACTATTTTTTATTTTAAATATTCTATGTAATGAAAAAATTTCTTCTTTTTTGCCATAGTTAGGAAGGTGGATGGTGGTTTTCTCACACACACAGTAAAGGTGTCATGAGAATTCAAATCTGAGACCACTGGTTTGCAAGTCAATGCCCTCCCATTAGAGAATGACTATTAATGTTTATGCTGTTACTATATCTACCCCACATTCGTTCTAGGTTGCTGATTTAGTTAACACCTCAGTCCTTCAACAAGATGGTTAATGCAGACAGAGGGAGGAACAATTTTTCTCACCTGGCAATAAATCACCTTCTAAGTATTGTTTTTCTTCTTTAGATAATTTTTCCATGTAATATTGGTGAGGCTAATGCTCTCCGTGTAAATTTGTAAGTGCTTTGGTTGTTGAAGCTTTTGATGTTATTTATGCAAAGTTTCAAAACCCCCTGCCCTGGTATGAGAGGCAAAACTGACGAACAAAATGATTTTAAATCAACTGAATTTGTTCAGTGCAAGAATATGCTTTGCTGATGTTAAATAAGAAAGTAGGATGCTTATGGGGTTCAGTTCAAGTCTATTAACAAGTCTATCAACCTCGGTTGCTAAAACTTATGTTTTCGATACAAATCTTGTGTAGGTAGCAAGAATGCAACAGAAATGTGATCTTAATGGAAACATAGAAATGGAAGTTGCTGGTTTTAGCTTGCAAAAGCTGCATCCTTGTTACATTTCCTATGAACAGCTTCTAGTTTGAGGTTGAAATGCACTTGGGACATCAGTGCGTGAAAACGAATCTGAACCAGAAGTGGTCTCCTCGTAATTAATGGCTTCTATTGGAAGTTCTGTAAGGCGCTGGAGGAACCACGGCATTGGGGATATACCAACATCTGAAACTCCCTCGAGAACTTGAACAACCTGCCTCATGGTTGGCCTATCTTTCTCATCATCTTGAATGCACCAACAAGCGACTTTGCATGCTCTACTAAGTTCATCCTTGTCGGCTTGCCTTCTAACCTGTAATCTAACAAGCTAATAGCATCTTTTCCTTCATTTATTACATTTGCAACCCGGATAGGAAGGTAGTTTTCTAACCCATCATCGAACCCGTCTCTGTTTCTCCTTCCTGATATAACCTCAATCAGACATTCCATAGCTAAACACGTCAGCTTATGGAATGATTGCTTCGCCTGAAAACCATTCTGGTGCAAGATAGCCTAGCGTTCCTCGCATGGTTGTCAAAACTCGGCTGCAGTTTCCGTCTAACAGCTTTGCAAGACCAAAATCTCCAAGTTTCGGGTTGTATTCTGCATCCAACAAAATGTTATCAGGCTTGATGTCACAGTGTATGATGCAGTCCAAGCACTCCTCATGGAGGTAAGCCAATCCTTTCGCAGTCCCTATTGCAATATGATATCTAGCTTTCCAATCGAAGACTAGTGGGTTCTTCGGAAGCAAGAGGGAGTGTAAAGAACCATTTGGCATGCACTCATAAACTAAAAGTCTTTTTGAAGCTTTTACACAAAATCCCCGGAGGCGAACAAGATTGATGTGTTGGATTGCACCAATAGTTCTCACTTCAGCGCGAAATTGTTTCTCTACCTGCTGCAGACATTTAAGTTCTTACACTGCTATGGCAGTTGAATCAGCCAATATACCCTTGAAAACGGAACCAAAACCTCCTTCTCCAAGTTTTTCAGAGAAATTCTTTGTTGCTTTTTTTAAATCTCTATACTTAAACAGCACGAGAGAATCCTCAACTGTGTCCAATGCTCCTACTAACTGTTTCCTTCTGAAAATGACCATGACAACGCTTAAGACAAAGAATAACCCTGCAAGTACTCCAATAACAATCCAAGCAGTCTCTCTCTTTTTCTTGTTTGCAGAATATATAATTTGATCCTTCTCAGATCCTGTAACTCAGACGTGCCAATCCTGGTCTCTCTTTCCTGCAGATGCTAGTTGCTTTAGATTGAATAGGTCTCCTTTCCAAATCAGACACTGATAATCATAAGCAAAAGCAGTGCATGAGCAATTTCTTAAGCACGCTAATTTACATTCGTCAACATTCTTAACTGTCGAAGACTCGGAAAGCATAGGATTGAGAACATCATGCATTACAAGAAATGAGGAATTTCTCACATCATTGCATTGTAAAGGAGTTTTCCTCACACAGCCGTTTGAGTGATCTTGTAATTTCCAATCTTTTCGGACTTGGGGTTCAAATCCTTGCAGGCAGCCACAAAGAGACACATTCTTCTGGTTGCAGATGCTAAAAGCACCACATGAACCATAAACGTCACATTGTTCGAGTGGTCGCATCCAGGTCAAAGTCCATTGTGTGAACTCCTTCCCTCTGATAAATAACTTGAGCTGACCAGTGATTTCTAGCATAATCCTGATAAAGTTATTTGAAGAGGCATCAGCATAAGTAAAATAGCTTTCATTCTCATTTGAAGCAAAAGTAAAATTTGAAATATAATCATTCTCCGCCATTTCTGGAACAAGGCTGAAGAGTTACAAAATGAGAGAAACAGAGGACCATTGCAAACAAACATACCAAAATAACAACAAAAATGAACATCGATCAAATTATTTCATCCCCCAAAAACAAAGCGAAAACATTAAAACTCTGCAACAAATTAACACCAATTTCATGCGTGGATTCAAAGGTCTTGAAGCCCTTTAGCAAACAGAGAAGCAAAAGCTTGCATATGGTGTTTTTCCAAAACCAAACCAACCTCAACATCTCCAGGAATACCATCCCTAGACTCTGCCAGGGACATGGCTCCTGTCTCTTCGATCGAAACCACCTCCACCTTGCTTGGCCTTCCCCATCCAAAATCTGTATCATAAATCCCAAACCTTGGTGAACCAGCAACACCCATAAACCTCTCTTCACTGCGCACAGCAGGGTAAAGTTTCGGAACCCAAGTCTCTGCGCCATTCAAAATCCCATCACTGCCCGCACTTTTTATAGCTTCACTGATTTCGTTGACCACCACGGTCAACCCATCCTCTCCTAGAAGCCCTTTCCTATCTGCAACTACTGCAC